TGCAGCTGATGTAGTCATATAAATCAATTTGACTGACTTGAACACTAAGATGCATCTTCCAAGGCAGACCTTCAGCCCTACCTTTTCAGGTATAACCATCTGCTATACTTATCCAAGAACTACGAGAATGTCTCTTAGACTGCTTTTTATGTGTTTCATTTTAGTTTTTGTGGTTGTTTTGTTTTTTTGGTCATGCCAGGGTTAGATGCCTTTTGCATATTTTCTTATAGGATAATACTGGAGATCTTCCAAAAGCATGTGAGTGGACAGTCCACCTAAAGGTGTGGTTGAGAACTGAAGGATACAGATGGAGTAAAGAGCCTTTAGTTTTGACTCCTATACTTCTGCAGACACTTGCTGGAGCTACAGAAATACTCTATTTCAGGCATCTTTACGGACCAGGCCAGAACATGGCTTTAATTTATGCTCCTTATCAATCTCCCAGTAAAACTACCATACATTGTGGCCTGGACATGAGCCTGGGTGCACTCAGAAACTGAGCAGGATCTGAGGGAATCCAGACAGTTGCCTACTTAAAACATGACCCCAAAACAACAAATAAAAATTGCATGAGTCTTACAGTGGATGTTGAATATCCTGTGCCAGTCCAAATAACAACTGGCAATTACTTCTGTGTTCTGCCTGCTCTTTGAGTGTTGTAACCTGGCTCCTATAAAACAGGATTGCCTGTACATAAATGTTTTCTCTTGCTTTTGGTATCCCATGGAACAGATAGTTCTGGACCACAGTTAAATGTGGCCCAGATTTCAGGGTTTATTCCTTGCCAAGAGTCTAGGTGAAGCCAGTAAAATTTGCTTGCACTTGATAGCAGGAAAAGATTGTTATGCTTGACAACAATCAAGAAGTTTTGCACAAGAAATGTCTGTTCATGTACTCTGCAAAATACTTAATTGCATCATATCCCTCCCCTCTGCATCTAACAAATCCAGATGCCACTGCCACACTCTGCCATGAACAAAGGGGCTTCGATTATTGCCCTGTCACAGAAGGGAAGGCTTCTCCCAGTTATTTGTCTGGTAGAGAATGGAGAAGGAATTCAAAGGAAGGAAATGGCCCTGAGGGAAACTGCAGGGGGAGAAAAGATTGGAAAGTGTGAAGGAAATACTCTGTAGGAAGGTCTTCAAAGATGTAAAGTGTGGAAGGCAGCTGCAGGAAGCTACAGATGTACTGAGCAACTGTTCTGCATAAGAAGAGAGCAAGTGCTTTCCCACATAAACCAAGTTTTTTATAGAAGCAGCACAGGGAATTTGGGGAGGATTGCCTAACTAATTATAGGAAAACAGTCTTATCTACACAGTCAGTGATTCACAAAGCCTGTGCAGGATGAAGAACTGAGCCAGCTCCCCCAGAATCAAAACAGCGATCATATGACAGGAAGAATGTCCTCCCTGGGCTGTGCTTCCCATGCTGATAGCAAGGATGAGAAAGATAGGCACTGCTTTGTCCATGGCTTAGTTGCTGTAGGCACCTCACCAAGATGAGGTTTCCCGTGTCACAACAGTTCTGAGAGTGCACCTTACTGATGAACCTGCACTGCTCCCCATGCATAGTTTGATGAGCCTTTGGCTACTAATTTCAGAACACTGGAGAACTTATTTTATGCCCTGGATCAGAGTTTAGCATTGATGCTGCTGTAACAATATACATGTTTATGTGAAACTCCACTGTTTCCCAGAGAATAGCATTTCTAGACTCTTATATTTTGCGGTGTAGCACTTCAACATCTGCAAACATTATCACCACCATACTTGTGGTCAAGGTCGGGTGGACCAGTGGTTGACCTATTCTCAGTGAAAGTCACTGCACCTATCCAGGTATCTTAGAAGGTCAAATCATGCAACACTCATGACATGCACTTTGAGGTATGGTACTGCAAATAACCAAAACTTAAGCTATTTTGTCCTGGATGACTATAGCTTTGGGCAGAGATGTGAACTGCAGACTGAATTATAATTAAGAGTGTCCCGGCAGAGAATAAACAACATTTCACAAAGCTACAGCCATAGCTCAGTACAAATTCTGAGGTGATACACAATCACACACACACACAGAGCCAGCTGAGGTATCCGAGCAAGGAGCTGCAGTTAGAAGTATTAGCCAAACCTGAAATGCCTGCAAATACCAGTTCAGCTCTGAGCATTCATCTAACTGTTCTGTTTCCAAGCATTTGTTCCCCCTTGCTGTACTTTTTTTCCAGACTTGTATAACATTTTGTGATTGACTCTGCCATACTTATTAATACTAAATAAAGCAATTTGTTCTATGAATAGTCCCACCAGAATCAATGGCACTATTCAGAAGTAAAATACAGCTCAAAGTAAGCGTGCAAGAATTGGACTGTAGGCTCTTTGATTTTATATTTTTGCTAATTGCCTAGCACATTTGTGGGAAAACTGTTAAAAGGAAGCCCCATGTAACTTATTAACTTTCAGACTATAAATACTGTTCTAGCAGCCAGAATGTCTGAAAAGTATTCATGTAATATATGGGACAGAACAGCCAGACAGAGAATTCCTGCAGTTAACACAGCATGTGTATGTATATATAAATACATATATATTTATATATACACACACACATAAAATTCTGAACAGCAGATTGGCTCAGAAATTCTATTCTAAAGGTCATGCATGAGGATATCTTTGTTATGCAATATTTGAAACTTCCTATGTTACTTTATGACTGGAATAATTACAACATCTTCTTAAAAAAATTTTTCCAAATAAATCATGATTCTGCCTTACAATTTTTGTCATATTAAAGATATTTCCTGATGAAAATGTAAGCATTTATGGTAAAACTTAAAGCTGTGACATGTGGAGCTGAACATTTTCAAATAAAAAATAGTGTTCACAGCTGATGGCCAACTAGTGAAGCCTTTAGCTGCTAGAACTGTGGTAGCATGAGGTAAATGAAAGCACAGAAAATTGAGAACTACATTGATTCTTTGCAGCTGTATCACTGACAGGGGTAAAGATGCAGCCAACTTGGACCAAAAAAAAGGTACTGAACAGCCTGTACTCAAATCTGGTTTTGCTGCTGTGCCACTAAGCAGTGAAATTCCTGTATTAAAAATGTTATACCAAGCCTTTTCTCATTGTTTTATTTTTTCATTGCTTTTCTCCAAAGGTTTAATAAATCAGAAGAAAACAACTTGACTACTACACAGGAGAGAAAAAACCTTGCTTTTGTTGGTTCAATCTTTAGTACAGTTTTGCTTACTAAGAAAATCTCATTTACTTAAAACAACAAATATTTGGGTTCCAACTGAGAGACTGAGAAGGTGTTTTGGCTTTTTATTAGCCTATTTTTTAAGCCATTCTGAGTTTTTATCATGCATTTTTTAAACTGAAGTGGTAACAGAAAGGGCTGGCTTGCACAGGCACTTGATAGGAATGTATGCACTAGATTTTATTTTAAAGAATGATGAACTTCACTATTTAAAATTTTATTTTAAATTAATTGATAATAGCAACACAAGGATGTAGTACCTCACATCCCTTTCGTGTGAGATAACCTCCAAACATCGTGATGAAGTCTGTCTTTCCTTTATCTGGACACATGCAGATAAGACACATGCAGATAAGACATACATGCATCCATCAGGAAGAACAGTCATAGCACTGATTAATATATACAACTATTGCAGAGCTAAGCCAATGGTTTCCTCTCTGCCTTTACTGCTTCATGAACCTGTCAAACATCATGACGTAACCAGCTGGCCTGATCTAATACTAGCTCCAATGGCAGTCCAGTAACCAGCAGCATCTAGCACACAAGGCCATGTACCAAAAGTGAAGCTAATGTGTTGTGACGCTGCCAGAGGTGAGCCTTTCACTCAGGGAGGCCCCATTCCAGGCACATTTGCCTGCTGAAGCTTAATGCCATGCCTATCCACTAACTGAACCTTGGGTCACCAATATGCCTGATGGTAGATACATTCATGAGCTAGGAGAGAAGAAACTTAGGGGATACAGAACTCACGTTCTGATATGCAGAAGGGAAAGATTGTATCTCCTGTGGATTAAATTGGTTTAAGGAACTCTGCAGTATTGCAGTCCCTAGTACATGTAGTCCCCTCACTCTCAGAAATTTTTCTAAAATGTGTATTCCTCTCCACCCTCTTCATCAGCAATCAGCAGAAAACAAGGGACTGAATACCTCTTGCCCTCTACCCTTTTTTTATCCTTCATCAGGTCGAAAATGCTCCAGTTTTCCCCAGTGACCTCCCTGAAGCTATGCTAGAGATTCTAGTGGAGTTGCGTGAAGAATCTCTTAACTGTTAACCAGTAACATTTGAGGGTATAAGAGGCTGCAGTTCAGATTATATGACAAAAGATGATTCATCTGCAGACTAGAAAAGGTATGCCTCAAAACCAAAAAGAGATACCAGGAAGAGTAAACACTGTAAGTTTAATTTATAGGAATAACAGATAAACAAGAGTTGGTGCCACTGTGATTCATTCCACAGTGGAATTTAAGCTTCTTGTCCTCTAACACTAGGTTCATGGGATAGCATAATGCAAGATTTCCTAATAATTCTTAATAATGGGTTTTGAGTTCACAGAAACAAGTCTACCTAGTTTTCACTATTTCTCCTGCTAGAGCTTCTTCTTTTTTAACACTATGGGACAGGGAGAATAAAATGTTTTCAGATTAGAGAAAGAAATGAAAAAGGGAATGCAAAAATATCAATGTCACAATCAAGATATGTACCTGTTTTAGTGATTTGGAGTGGATGATACACAACTGAATATAAATATGAATATACATATATATATATACACATACATGGACATACATGAACACAAACACACAGCAGAACAGAAGAGAAATAATCCAGATTTATCCTAGAACAGATCCTCTGTGGTTTGATGTTAACATTATCTAGAAGGATGTAATTTGATGCATTTCTTTAATTTGGCAGCCTGATAATTCCACTTGCTTTCAATGGAAAAAAAAAAAAAAATCTCACTTACCTACACACACACGACCATCAACTCCAACAGCCAAGCCAGGTGGACACTCACACCGAAAGGATCCTTCAGTATTTATGCAATGACCATTCATGCAAATTCCTGATGTCTGACATTCATCAATATCTATCAGGAGGAAACACAATTCAACAATCTATTCACTGTTTTTAAGCAAGATTACAATTAATATTTTTAGAACATTACCAAATGACTTTATGATAGCAGATGAATCATCAACATATTCTTGTTTTGTTTCTAATAAAAATCTCATCTTGGAATTACACTAAGTAATCAAAATTCCAGCTGCACATTAAAAAAAAAAAAAAACAAACCAAAACCCCAAAAAACCCACACAAAACATCCCCCAGAAAAGCTGTAGGATTAGAGGCATTTCAGATTATACATTAAGCAAAATTAATGATAAATTTTCCCTTTTGTCCATCCCATGGTACCATAACTTAGCTTTAAAGTGTGGTTAAGGAAGCATTAATCACAGAATATCCATATGATGGTAAATTTTAATTTCAAAAAACTTTTCAGTCATCACCAATTTCTACCTAAGTCAACAGCCCAGCTGCATGTACATTAAGAAAGCCACAATTAATAGCAATGCTTCATCTTCAAACCAGAAAACTAACAATTTAGATGATTCTGCACTTACTAGAAATGACTGAAGCCCAAACCTGCTTCTACTGGCAGCAACAGGTATCTTCCATTACTCTAAACTGAAGCTAAATCAGACTCTATTCTTAAAATGTTTAATATAAGGTTTCAATGACCTCACTTTAAAAAGTTTGTAATGCTATGTGGCAAATATAATGCCTTAAGTGTTATGCACTCTGAATTGCCAGAATAATGATATGGAAAAACATACTTGTGTGTTTTCATCAATGTAAAATCTTTTAAACCTTTTAAATTTCCGATATTGCTGCTCACTTTACCATTTAATGAAGGGCCTGCATATTTTGCTACATTTACAATGCTCCAAGACTTTTCAAAAACTAATTTATCATCTGTTGTAGCTTTCACAATACTATTAAATAATTCAGTTATTTCTTTCTCTAAGTTAAAGACCTATTTCTATTCTAGGCAGCTTAAGAAATCTACTGTAATGAGTTAGTAAGGTATTAGTATGATATTAAATCCATGTGACGAGATTGCCATTCTTGCATGAATGAATGGACCGGAAAAACTGTTTTCAATCAAGATTGTCTTAATGTATTACCCCTCAGTTCTACATACCAGTACAGTAACGCCCATTTGGAGCCAGAACAAATCCTGGTTTGCAGATGCATTTAAAACTCCCATCTTCATTTATGCACATCCCATTTAAACACATGTTTGTAGTGGTACACTCATCGTGGTCTGCAAAATATTGCAAAGAAAACTGTTTACAGTTCCTCACCTTCCAGAAGATGACACTAAAAATAAACGATCAGGACTGATGTGACATATTCCTTCACTTGAAGATTAAATTCAACTCATAACTTTGATGAAGTATCTGCAGAGTTTTCACTCTATCGAGAAAGCAGCAAGTTTTTTTTCACGTTGTGATCAGTTACTTTGCGTGTTTCAGCAGACTGTGTATGGAAGAACAGTCTTCCTTTCTTAGACCAAAGGAAAAAAAGCTTCAATCACCTGAGAGAATTAAGAGCCTGTCGTTTATCTAGGAAGTTTTTTTTTTTACACAGAATAGTCAAAATTCAAAACAGTTATTTCTTCAGCAGTACTGATATATGGAGCACTTGCTATGAAGCTTTAGGGAAAAATGTTATTCCTGGCACTGAGTTCCTTGGGACTCTTGAGGAAAGATGTAGCTTCAAAAACAAAAATTACCTCAAGTTTTCTTTGAAAACATGCAGTACCATACAATAACTATTTGAATACAGGGGCTATAAGTTCACCTCAGGTCATACCTTATTTCAAAAGGGGTAATCCTTAACGATCCTTAATTGCAATATGAAGTACACATCCTCGAATTACCTAGCTGATGCCCACCCCATTATTTAGAAGAGTTCTTACCCACACAGTTTCTTCCATCTGTAGCGAGTTCAAACCCAGCATTGCAAATACACTGGAAACTTCCATCGGTGTTTACACACCGGCCATTTTTACAAAGAACACCATTCTGGATGCACTCATCTATATCTAAGGGAAAAAAAAAATCTCACAATTGAAGGATTACTGTAAAATAAAAATGTATATAGTGACAATTACTGCTTTGAAAAATACTAGCATGTTATTTAAATATTATTTAGAAAAAATATTCCAAAGATGGTTAAGAATTTATTCTCATTGCATCAGAGATAGGAAAACTATTATTTTACAGACTTGTACAATAAATGCTACAATGCTACATTTTGTAACGCTCAGCAATTACTTTATGAATGCTTTTAAAAACCTACTCACACATTCATCTGTGTACATAGTTAAATATACACCTGTCATACTAACAGTTTATTTCCTGATTTTTTTGTAGAACTCCCAGCTGGGGAATTCCCTGGCCAAGTGAAAAACATTCAGGAATAATGGATAAATGTCAAAAGACAACAACAGAACAAATGGAACGGTAGCCCAGAACCAGACCTCCAATTAATATAACAACTGTTGCTATTTACTGAAATTGCATTGCTAACTATTTTTTGAACTCCAATGGGATCTGACATAAGGGGTCAGAACATCTGCAATGTCAGTAGACATGAAGCAAATTTTCTTACCGATGCAAGCTTGCTTGGTAGGAGTTCTCTGGAAACCTACGTGGCACTTGCAGTAATAGGAACCAGGTGTGTTGACACAGTCTCCGTTAGAGCATGGGTTTGATGTGCATTCATCAACATCTGTTGGCAGCACAGAGGAGCATTAGTGACTTCACAATGTATACAACATTTTTTTCAAGTCTAGAAGTTTCTAAATGAACAAGAACAGTCAAATGCTAAATACTAAAACTTGTTCTTGGTGCAAAATTATTACTTTCCTAAGAACAAAGAGCTGTTCTTAGTCCAATTAGGCAGACATTTTTAAGAATTGAAATGCTACTACAGCATTTATATGCATCTTGAAAGACAAAAGAAAAAAATGTGTGAGAATTTTGAGACATGGGATCTGACACTTGCCTAGTGAAAGTGAACAACACTTCATTCAGCATAGTTTCACTTAACTGATGACCATTCATTCTTCTTCAGAATAAAACCAACATAAATCAAAATTGGCATTTTAAAATCAGAGCAAATCATGGTATCGAAAAACCCCTCATTATGTTACAGGCTTATTGTAGAAATGTGAGGAGGGGCCACACACCACAGGAGGGATTCTTAATGAGAACACAGTCTGTGCACCACATCTCAATTATTTATGCGCCACTGCATCCTCAACCCCAGTCTTTGCATTTGCGTAATGCCAGACTTAATCTAGCCCTTCTCTATAATGTACCTTACTCTCCTTTCCAAAGGTTTTTGGTATTTGAGTGCAGCCAAACACACTTTAACCACCTTAAATCTTAGGTAACTGCTCAGATATAACGCGCACTTGATATAGGGCTCTGAAAACTTTAACTGCTTTCAAGAACCCTTCCCAAATTTGATCCCCAAGGGTTAGCAACAACTAAGCTCTAAAAGAACACAGATTGTTCCTCCCCATTATGCTCCTCTAAACCCTATGTTTCCTTGCCCTCTGTGATCCAGGGAACCAAGTGGGTGCATCCTCTGGTCTGGCAGGCAGGACTACTGGCTCAGTCTCTCCTGCAGCTACCACAGGATGACCTGAGCAGGTGCTACAGCTAACTTCACAGGCTACAAACTGAATGGATTCCTTGATGAAATCCCCCTTTCTTCATCAGTCACCTTTTTTCCCTCCAGCTATGCACTCCATTTCACTTACAGGTCTGAAATGACTCATCTCTTCATTCAGGTAGGCTTTAAAACCACAAAGCCAGTGCTGATTTGTGGAGGTTTTTGGTATCTGGCTGTAAGCTGTCATAGGAAGCTGGGGCTAAGTAAAGCCACTGCTGATCAGTTCCTAGTAATGATGATCTTCCCATGCATTTTGCAGTGTACACTACCACAAATATCAGGAAAAAAACAGGGTAATTTTGCTGATCATTTGTACTCATCCTTTATCGGGTCTAGTTTTAAAACTTAGTTCATTACATCTTGGAAATAAAGGGATGGAATGAGAAATTAATCTTATAAGAACATTTATATGTTAAATAAATGTGTACTTCTAGAAAGTGTTGTGCCATGAATGGCAAAAGGTTAGTCTTGTTCTAATTTAACCATAAACAAGACCATACATTTCACAGGATTTACTGTGTTAATGCATACACAGTTATAACCAACAGAATCAATATACATATCAAAGAGATCCGAGTTTACCCAAATCACTGATTTAATGCACTGGTTTACAGCACTCTTGGTGCCTACAAACAATCAGACCTTTTTGAGTAAACAGTTAAATGAATAAAGGCAAAGCAAATGGAAGAATCAAATACCTCCTCTCACGCTTATTAAGCTCATTCACATTTGCATAGCAGCTGATAGCACCACTCCAGTAAAACCACAAGAATGAAGCAAGATAAAGAAAAGAGAAATTCAGAGCGTTAAATACAATGAAGAAAACAGTAACTGTATCTTTATAGTGCAGTAGACTTCTATGTAATTATAGCAGTTTCCTGCTCTCATGCTTCTCTACAGTGCCTGGCTGGTTGGGATGCCCCTTCTCCTAAGTGCTAGATTGGGTATTTTTTCCTCAGTGCTCAGCTGATATGGGGTGGGGGGGGGGTCAAGGAGGATCGCACCTAATTCCTTCAGAACAAAGTGCTCAGCTACCAACAAAATGTCAAACTCTAAATCACATTTTCACATGAATGTTTTGTCAAATGTCTTAATTCAAATGACTCGACTGTATATTTATCTTGCTTTAGTATAGGAGAGGACAGGGGGAACTTATAAATACTAGATATGGCACTCATCTGTTCTGTTTAGTTTTCCTACAGAGAATGACATTTATGACTTACTTAATTATAGGCTTCAACTTGCTTCATCTGTTAAAGAAAACATGTTCATGCTAGAAACGGATCTCACTGTAAATTAATTTATAAATTGTACAGCTGGAATGCAGGGGTCCTCTATGAAATAGCTGACTTAAGCTTAGAAAATCCTTCCAAAGCCATATGCATCAGATGATTTTCATATAAAATATGCATCTTAAGATGTTCTTATTTTTATAAGCTCTTGATAAAAGAAGGAAATGGCAAATATATGTTAATATAAAGGAGTTGTTGGCTTTGTGTCTGCATTTCAAGCATGCATATTCCAGCAGTATAAACAGGAAACATCTGAGACAGAGATATTTAACCCATTTATTCTATCTCCCAGCACACCTCCCTCTTCAGTGTCAAATATTTCTCTTTCACCACTTGCATCACACTTATCTCCACTTTTCAGTGTTTCATCTCTAACACTTGTCAGAATTCCGCTAGACACAGTATGGAACTTCCAAAACTCCCTTAGGACTTACTGCGATGAGTCTGAAGTTATATTACAAAATTTAAAATATGGAGATTTGTATTTGCAAAACTACTAAAATTCAACACAGCACAGCTACAGGCTTGCTGCCACTTTCAATGTCTGTACAGTTTTATCCAGAGTTTTTATAAATAGAATGAAATAAGGAAACGTAATAATATTACAGCTGTCTATCAGTTTGGGGAAAGGGACTGACCATTCATTGTCAGATCACTTAGGACGTTTATGGTCCTTGACCCATCAGGCATGTTCCAATCACGACAGCAGCATAATACAAGTTTATGTCAGAGAGCAGTATGTAACACCATTATTTTTTTATTTGGCAGGATAATTTTGAAATAAGACTTTTCCTTAACTCTATACAAAAATATCTAAGAATTTCTGGCTTTTTAATTTATTGCCTGGCAGCCAGAGAGATAGAGCAGTATGGAAGCAGTGTTCATTTACATACCATTAACCTTACCCCACGCAGTGAAATGTAACTGTTCCCAGTGTCCCAGGACTGTTCTTTCAGTGATAAGAAGAGTATCCAAGTTAGATTCAATCAAGACTTTAATTTCATTTAATATGTATTAGTACACATGGAAATTCCATGCAGTTAAGTTCCTGTCTACAGTTCCAAGACAACTTTCTGTATGATTTACAGTGTATTTGCATTCACAAATCACTGATTCAGTGTAGCACTTGAGATACTCTGGCTACTTCTTTATAATACAATTGGAAAATAACAGTGAAACAAAGCTGTGTTGTCTAAGATAAATATTCATAAAGTATACTCTTTTATAAAAAGTCTTCTGAACACAAGCAGGTACTCAAAAGGCAAACCACTGAAGAGTCAAAGTAATTAGTAATGACTGATTAGTTTCACACAGAAAAAAATAAGCAAAATGACACTTAAATTTGCTGAAAGCTGTTATTGGGCTTTTTTTCCCCACTTTCAAACTAGGATATTACTGTAGCTGGAAAAGCATCTTCTGCTTTTGTTAAACCAGCTGAAATTTTTGTTTTGATCCCAGTGCATTCAAAATTGCCTCAGTTTTCAGACTACTGTTTCATGCTGAGGCGTGCATTATGAAGTTGAGACTAAGTTCCTTAAGTGAATAGACCTTTTTCCTGGGCACATAACCATGTGTTAGAGAATTAAACAGGTCAACAATTTTTTTTTCCATGCACCTATCAATCTAGCCTCACAGTTTTCAGGCACTTTAACCTCAAACTGAAAATCAGATACAACTTCACCATATCACAAGCCTGGAGTAGAAGGTGAATGGTAAGGCTGGTAGCCTACAGGGTGACCCCACAGAAGAGAAAAGGACAGAATGCCAGCCAACTGTTAAGAACACATTATATCTTTCTGTCAATCAATGTCAGCACCCAGACATCTAAATCTGATGGGCCTTTTAAACTACAGATGGTTGTCCTACTTCATTTTTTCATGCACAGTTTCTTCAATGAGAATTGAAAAATAAAAACGCTTAAATTAAATTCCATACAGTTTTACTTGCTGCAACGTAAGTATAAAGGGGCACAAAGATAGAGCAAATGAGGTATTTCACAACAGGCTCAAACACAGAGTTTAAATCCTGTTCTGTACTAATCCCAAAAGTCACTCTCAGATGAAATTAGTACATTAATACCTGGTCATTTAGGCTGGGAAGGCAAAAAGGAGCCAAAGGCACCATTTCTTTTGTGCTAGTCGTTATTGAAACTGGTGTTCACTAAAAACAGAAGTCTAAAAGGTCACCCAAGTTCAGGTGAGGCCTTTGGTTTATCTACTTACCTGAAATTTCCTGGTATTAATTCCTAGTATTTCATCTGGAGTTACCTCTTATTTAGGACTTAACCTTACCACCTGCATCAAGGTTTGCTTTGGTTTAGACTTTATTTTCCACAATTCATTTTTTCCTAGACTCTTAACTTACATGTTCCACATTATCAATATATGCATTTGATCAAATGCATTAATTTTCCATGCTTCACAAATTAAAAAAGGGCTTTGTGAGTTTAACAGCATTCAAATTTCATATGCCACAGTGAAATGCTACTTAATCGCATGACATCTTTATGCTATCTGCTGATATGAAGCATAAAGTAGCTTAGTCAAATTTGCCTTACCTTAATAGGAAATGATTTTAGGGACAGATGACACTGTGTCTTTGCATGGTATGCGGGCTCATTTTTCACAGCTATGTGCTCTTTCAGTATATTTCTTCATGCAGAATAATTCTTTATAAGCAGGAGAGCATTTATGATAATCATGCTCTACCATGATGTTATTTATCATTGCTTTTTAGTGATTCGACCACAGGATGGTTGCCTCAAAAAATACAGTTTAGAAAGGCCTTTCACTTTTTTCAGTTGCTAGCTTTGTAACAACTTATATTCAGATTTTCATCATTAGTCATCTTTATTTCTTCATTTGAACTTAGAAAGCAAAAATAATAAAGATGTAATAAATACATATTGTTATCAACTAGATAACAAACATCTGTGTGCTTCAGATATTTTCAACTTGCCCCCCAAGTAACAAAGAATATGAATACAAGTTGTGAACTAGATTTTATCAAGAAACATTAGTTCAACATGCCAGCTTTCAGAAGACGCTCTGCACATTTCAAGACAGTTTCTCAAGAGTCAAGGTCCACCATAGTTAAAAATATTATTGAATTCAGTGATGCAAAATTAAGTGCTGGGAACCAAAGTGCCAAGGCTCTCCATACACTGTAAAGAAAGAATAGCCATGCAAGACAGATTTATAGTAAAACTCCCAGTCCCCACTTACAATGCACTTATAGCTCCTGAGGTCCAAGTATGTAGCAAGAGACTAAGTCTCTTGAAAACTCTCACCCACACAAAAAAAGCTGAAGAAGTTGTGTTTGCTATATCATAGAGGACAACTTGGAAGAACTTTAACAGTCTTCAAGCACACAAAAGTGCAAAGAGAAAGGTACTGAACTGCTTTCCTTATATACTGTGGGTAAGACAAGAAACAATGAGCTGAAATTTTTTGCAAAATAGTCTTTAAATTAGATTAGATGTGAAAACTTTCTGGAAGTTTGACTATTGGGGCACTGCAACTGCCTGGGGAAGTGGTGGAATCTCCATCAACTAACATTTCTTAAGAAGAGGGTGTACAGTTGGCAGGAACGAAGTAGCTGTAACTGACCTCTCCGGTGCAAGAGAATGGCCTACCTAAGGGGACTCACAAACTTTCAGGTGCACTATATCAAGTCGATTTGAGAAAGGAAAAGAGAGGTTAAACATCGTAAGAAACAGGGACATCAAAGGAAAAGTACTATTCAACAGTTGTCGCATTTCACTTTTCCAGAAGGCAGGGTGCCAAGCCAGGCCAGTCCTGATACTCAGTTTGCAATTCAGGGGGAGGTGGAAGAATTTGCAACTCAGAGATGCAGTGTTCCCAGCTCAGCTTCTGGTTGATACCCACTCTGCTGCATGTATATCAAAATCTGCCTGTACTATTCTCACTTGCATTGCGTAGCTGCAATTTTCTGCGTTCGTTTGCTTCTATATTTTCCTCTAATTTACAGGCATGTTAGAAATTGATTCTGAAACCACAGTTTCAGTGAGAAAAGCCTATCACTAGCAAGCCCCTGTATAATATTTTTCATTCACAGATCTCAAATCTCTTTATAAAGGATCAGTAAGCAAATGTTCCATCAGAAATGCAGCCAGACCTTTCTATTTGGCAACCTATATGTTTACAAAGCTGTATCCTGCATACAGAATTCTCCTCCATGCATCTACCACACAAGAACCCCCAAATTTTGTATTTTCCCTGAAATACCTGATGAACCTTTGACACTGCAAAAGTGAAGTCCACAGTAACTGAATAAAAGTGTAGAATCCCAAATTCAGCTCTTGTTATAGAAAGTTAGCATTCAATATTTTCATATGAAATGTGAATGTAACCAGAAGTTAATTAATGCATTTTTTTAATTGATTTTATATCTTTCGAACTGTGATGCATCCTTATGAGTAGGTAAAACATAAATTCTACCCTTTGTTATCTTGAACATAACTCAACACTAACTCCTGTAGCAAAAATGGAGCTATGTGAGCATAACAAAATAGAACATGGAAGAGAACGAACTTTACTGAACGTGGAGACAGAAATGCACAATACCCATCAAGTACAGAAATACTCAATACCAATATCTGCAATTGAAGATTTCTGGGTTTTTTTAAGGAAACAGATTACTTTCATGAAGGTTCTAAATTATTCTAGCATAAGTAATATCATGGTGTTTGCACGCTCTTTCACACAACCAATATGATTAAAATTAGTATGTATGTTGGGGAAGAAGAATATAAATATTTCTTTTTAAACCAGATTTAACGCAGAAATATATTAGCATTTAAAAGTGAATAATGGATTTTAGAAATGTGCACTTACCAATACAATCCCCATTTGCATCCTGCTTATATCCCATGTTGCACTCACATCGGTAACTAGAAAGGGTGGGTATACAACGTCCATTTAAACAAAGGTTGGGATGGTGCTTACAGATGTCTATTGTCTGATTGAGTATTGCTAATAAAAAAAATCAGAACATGAGACAAATATTCATATTTTCAAATAGAAGTAAATGTGAAGATTATACGTGGCTTCAGAAAGTTATGTTATCAGGTGCATAAATATATCCATCAAATCAAGTATTTTTTTCCAAGCCCTATCTGTTGACACAACAGTAAACAAACAAGTAGCTCTCAGAAACAAAAAACACATTAGACAAACAGTCTTAATTATGATTTACCATCTATGAGTATAGTCTGATGAGATTGTCAGCAGCCTCATGAATAAACCACAATTTGGATCAAAGTTGAAGCGGTCTGTTCTTATATGTTTACTATTTTTGGTGTACCTGTCTTAACAATACTCCTTGCATTTTATTAACCTTATGGTTCTGATCCTAGAGACGTGCTTACACATGTTAGCAACTTTACATATATGAGACTTCCCTCTGAATATTATTGACCTTGGGCTTTCAGTCAAGGCAGTGTTCCTGCAGAATAGGTAAGTTTTACATTTGGAAGAACAAGGAAAGAGAACAGTTTATTTTAAACCCTGGTGGTTTTTTGAAAACACTTAGAAATTTGGAGTTTTGTTAGTGCTGACCAGGGCAGATCAGCAGGGACAGCACAGGCTTAAGGACTCTAACTGAAGTGAAGAAAAAAATCTCTACACCTGGACTCTTGTTAAAAATAGGGCTCCTGAACTTCCTAATGTATCAACTGAGGTCTCTTAAATGTGCTTGAATACAAAGGCATTTTTATGAGTCAAGAACACCATATCATTTCCAGACTAAAAACTAAGTAGAAAAAAATGAAAAGGTAGAAGGAATGAAAAAAAGAGAGAAACAAGTCACAACAATGCAAGTACTTACTTAGTCCTGTAATTATTGGGCCACTTCCAGTGGGACTTTGACCACCTGTCCCTACCCCTGCTCCACCTACACCTGGGGAGAAACCATTGCTTCCAGGGATAGGAATGTATCCTGCTCCTCCTGGGCCATAGCCATTGCCATTGCCACTGGGAAGGAACCCATTTCCTCCTGTCCCACCACCTCTGGAACCACCTCCAGCAGAAGCGCCATCCACACAAAGTCTGCGGTGTTCATCTATTAAACAGGAACATACAAAGAAGCATAAAGTAAATCAACACTTCAGAGTCAGCTTATAAGGAAGATACAGATCTTTGCATGCTACAAAAAACAGAACACCAGCTCCTCATTTCTTTGATGTTATGGGTTCCCTCTCCCACCCCCATTCTCAGGCAGATCCCATGATTGTGACAGGTGTTATTTAAGGAAGGACAGTAAAAATAATAAAAGGAAATACTGTAATTTGCAATTATTTGTTGAAACCTTTTTGTTGACGTGCTGCCAGCAGCACTGTAACTCCCTGGTCACTCAAGAGATCTTGATGTAGATAAACTGAAAATACATTTCACTAGGGATATGGAACTATTGTTCTGTGAGCAGAGTTGAAAGAATAAATGAAATGCTGATGCATTTCTAGTTCAAAGTAACCCAAAATTTAATGGAACAAGAGAGCAGCTGTTCCTTTAAATCAAAATGAACTATGGACCCTCAGAGTCATTTCCTCTTTGAGCTTGACCACAAAATCTTTCCCATTTGCCAAGAAATATTTCCAAAGTCAACAAAAGGATGTTAAAGAAACTAGTCCCAAACAATCATGGACCAGAAAAAAAATGGTTCACAGATGGTAACATCAGTATTAAAAACACAAGAATGAATAACAATGTAATTCCTGCCTTTCTTTTTCCATTTAGCCTACATTTTAAAGTAGTTTAAAATATTCCAGTGACCTCCATCCCAACTAGAATGGACAGCGAGAAGGAGAAACCAAACCAACCAACCAACCAACCAACAAGCCACTCACCAGATCCTCTGACAGGACACATCTCTGGAACTGACCCAATAGCCCAACACCGGCCAGACTCACAGCAGCACTGCCTTTTGGTGAACCTGCCGGGAAGCTCCTGTGCACAGCGGCCATTCACTATGTTGGAGAAACATGTACTTGCCCTCTGATCTAGAAGTTAATTTAAAAAGAAAACCAGAAAGAGTAAGATGAACTGTCAAAATGACTTTCCCTTATTCAATTATTTAAGGACCAAAATGTTTAAAAAGTTGTATTAAAAAAAAAAAAAGCTACAAAACCAAACCCCCAAACACCTCCAAACACACCCAATAATTATCTGAGGTGATCAGCACCAACACATTCCAGGATCACATATTTGCAGTGACACTAGTCTTGCATTAATCCAACATGCAGTCTTAAAGTCTGCTCAAGCTAACAGGAAGTATGGATGATCCAAAAGATACAATGCAATACAAACAGAAACTAGACACATATATACAAAAAGCCTCCTATGGCAAAAATCGAGACATTTCATGTAACAACTGCAATATCAGTAAATTAATTTAATGAATTTTTCCTTGGTGTAGATGCATCTGACTGAAGAAATGCTATCCAGTCTGCTCTGCTCAGTAGACTGAATGTACAACAGCATTTTTAGTAGCACCATGTGCAAACTACTCTATGTAAGTATGTCAGCATTTATTATATTGTAGTTCCTTCAAGGACACATCCTAGATTTTTTATTGTCACACTCCTGAATGCTGACAGAAGAAAAGCTCAATGAATTTGGACAGACATGGTACTAATTACAATAACTGAGCACATCCTGATATTTTGGTTAAAAGCAAATATTTATCTTAAACTGGGAAGAATAAAATAATTTGTATTAATAATGATCACATTCTTCACTTTCCTCCTAAGTAAAGGAGAAATTATACTTCCAGACTATACAAGTTATACTCCAATACTATAAGCATTTGAGAACACAAGAACTTTTGACACATGTTCATTTAAGGGAAGGACATTCTGTGACATAAGGGCCTGCCTTAGTAGAGCAGGGCATGTGATTTGTGTGCAAGTGGTTTTGGGAGCTGACTTTAGAAACCGGATTGCAAAACATGCCAAAATCCATAGAAATTTTGATCATATTGGAAATCATAGGTTCTCAGTGTTCCTGAGGCTAGCCACAATATATTTGAAGTTTGGCACTCCTCAGATGAACCTGGATAACAAAAGCTGGCTACACTGAGCAAAAAATTATCCATGTGATATCACTTGTAGGTCTTGTGTTGCTACTGGCTTACGTCATTTATTTGTAATTCAGAAATTCCTTCAGAATTCCCATCCCTTTCCCAGCATGAGAACAAAGTGCTTTGAAATGTCTGAAATAAGAAGAACCACATGACATCTAGAAAAGACACTACTATTAGCAATTGTTAATGTTTTTTACATATGGTATGCCATATTTTTAGTTAATTCATCAGAATGGTTTATACCATATATTTGACAAATGCAGCTGTATAAAAGAAATTACCACATGTGAAAATAAGCACACATCATTTTATAATACAGAAACGTTTTTTAATTAAAGTATCCTGTAAAAGCTGCAACCTAGTGAAATCTAGTATTTGGTTTGTTTTACTATCTGTTCCAGCCAAATTAGTGGTACCTCAGTATACACCACTTAATGCCCTCTGAGTTTATATATGTGCCTCATATTGGTCTCTAAAGGTTAAATTAACCTATGTGAGATGGAACTTGAAATACAACTTGAAATACCAAGTAAAGATAAATGTTTGCTCCTTTAGAATTCATCAGATGAAGGTCAGAGAAACAAATATAATTAACATTTCTTATGTTTGCCTAGACAACAGAGAGATATTAATTGCTTTTTTCCTAGGAAGATTTAGATCTCAGGCAGGAGTTCTCAGGCTACAATACAGTCGACACAGAGGGATCTACTACCTACATAAAGATGGTTGCAGTGGCAATCGTCATCAGAGGAGGATGTTACAAATTTTAAGCAGCAGGATCAGAGATACTAGTGAGTTAGCATATAGTGAGGTCCTGGGGTCAGCGGAGGGAGTACTAGATGGTTGGGACAGAAGTTCTGCTGCTGCTGTGTATAAATTGCCTTAATAACCTTGAGAGGTCTAAAAGCCTGCAGGGTGGAATACCTACCAATACAGCGTGAGCCATCTGCAGATGTGACATAACCCCGTGGGCAGATGCAAAAATAACTTCCCACAGTGTTAGAACATTCACTGCCTTCACAGATTCCTGGGATGATGCTGCATTCATCAATATCTATCGAAAAAGGAAAGGACATAGGATAATTAGCAGAGGACTTGGACATATTGTATGAGGAAAAGGGAAAGAGAGCTTTTCTGAAATGAAGCCGTTAGTCAACTCAGACTGAACAACATATTGCTGGTGTTTGCATACTGCAAATAATTCTGTTTGCCATCTAATGAAGGCTTTCCTTTCATTCAAGGGGTGCACCACTTCAAGTCACAGAGTATGTGAAAGCAGTCTAGGATTTCCTCTAAATGACATATACTGAATGCCAACTCTAGGAAGCATACAGCAGCTACAATGCAATACCAAAATACACATCCTGCTTTTGAGCTGAAGGAAGGAGGATGGTACAGCAGCCAAGCATGGCAGCCTGGGGCTTCTGTGACCACAGAAATATTGCTCATCAGGTCTGACTGTTTTCTGGCCTTCTAATACTCCAACTGTAAGCAAGAATTTTGGCCAAGCTCTTCAAATGTGACCAAATGTTGCATTTTTACTTTTTTCAGATATTTTTAATCCATTCAAATGTTTCTGCTAACTGAAAGCAGTGGTCTCATCTGAACACTGGAACAATTTTGTCTGTAAATACATATGAAGTGAGATGTCATCAAGCTGATGAATGAGCTGCTGTATGTAACAAGGGGCTGCTAGGGCACTTGGCACCAGGACTGAGAGCAACATGTGCTGTCCCAGCACAAACTGGAAGCAAAATGAGGGGCTGAGACAATGAGAAGCAATACGAGGAAGCAGTCTGACTGTATTGTTAGAGATGTGAAGCACAGCACAGCAAACTGGAATGGAAGAAATAAAAGTGGGAACAACAGCATGAGAGTAAAGACTATGTCATGACCATATATACAAAAAAGCCACTTCATTCTACAACTGTGACAATCTTTAGACACATGAATATTTCAATGGTCATTTTAGTAACCTAATTTGCTTTTAAGTGACCTCTGTACATTTGCTTTTCGAGTGGCTTTCAGTGAACGCGAACTGTGGCCCAGGTTTAACATGTGAGGCATTCTGAGAAATCATGGGAAATACATGGGCCAACTTTTTAACTAGCTTGGGATGAGTTATGTTTTCCAGTTGGAATGACATGATACCACAGGTTTTGCATGGCTTGATACCAAAGGTACCATAGGTACAAGACTTTGGCTTAATTTGTTTGTAAAAATCTAGATGCGGTATTAATTTAAATTAGCTTTCATACTGTGAAAGAAAAAAACCCAACAAAATCAGACTGTCAACCTCAGACTGTGTCACATCAAATAATGCAGGAGAAACATCAGAAAGAGCGTATGACAGAAACTATCTTGTGATGACACTGTGAAGGTCTTCACATTCATTGTAAGAAAGCCTTGGGACCCCACAGACCTTTCCTTGCAGTTTTACACAGACCTATGATTACCTTGGACCTGTCACTCTAGAAATTCTCTTGAGATGAATGACTATGTGAGAAATAAACTTTAGCAGGTGTTATTTCTTAGGAGGCTTTTATGTGATGAATACTTTGCTCCCTCCGCTACATTCTCCACACTGAAAACTCAAACTAAAGGAAGAGTACCAAAAAGATCTGGTGTGCACAGGAACTATATTAAAAAGGTCAATCCCTACTGTGGGAAGGTCCACAGATGAAGTATTCCCTTTAGATATGAATCTACAGAGGACATTCAGGTACTGAAAGGAAAACTAAGTTTTGCCACAAGGCCACTAAGAATGTGGAAACTGTTCTTTGTAAAGTGAAAGTATGAATAAAACAATCCCTCTCCCACTGGCATGCCATTTGGAGTGTCACTGTAGAAAAAATAATTTGTCTTACAAGTAACGTCTTCAAACTTCCTAACGAGTCCATACATGTAAGCGTCCTGTGACCTTTGCTGTTTGTTTTACACTATGAAGCAGAATCACAGAACCACAGAATGCTTTGGGTCGGAAGGGACCTTTAGAGGTCACCCAGCCCAACCCCCCTGCAGTGAGCAGGGACAGCTTTAACTACATCAGGTTGCTCAGAGCCCCATCCAACCTGACCTTGAATGTTGCCAGGGATGGGGCCTCTACCACCTCTCTGGGCAACCTGTTCCAGCGCCTCACCACCCTCATTGTAAAAAATGTCTTCCTTATATCCAGTCTAAATCTATTCTTCTTTAGTTTAAATCCATTACTCCTTGTCCTGTCACAACAGGACTTGCTAAAAAGACTGCCCCCATCCTTCCTATAGGCCCCCTTTAAGTACTGAAAGGCCGCTACAAGGTCTCCCTGCAGCCTTCTCTTCTCCAGGCTGAACAACCCGAACTCTCTCAGCCTATCAGAATCAGAGGAAGTGAAAATTTTGTCATTTTTATAAGGTTATTTAAACATTTCAGAGGACTCAAAAAAGTTTAAATTTTACATTAAAATAGTTACAAAATGATGACAACTATTCCCCACATTTTAGACATCTGCTTAAGTATATACAAAACAAAGTGTCATTTTTGCTAAATCAAAACACTTCTAAGAAATAATGCTTTCACTTAAGGCTTCATAGCTGCCCACTGCAGATTCCAGAATTCCAAATGACGGTATAAATAAAAACCAGTAATTCCCCAGGAAATCCCTGAAATCTTGCATTAATTTACTATATTAAAGACAATATATATAATGTGGTGAATTGCTTACCATCTGATTTAATCCAATGAAATGAAACCATGTGTGTAAATCAAAACAGAACCGGAACCAGCTGCATGCCTTGCTGAGATCTTTCATGCAGTACAGGTCTTTCACAACCATAAGTCTTTTAAACATGAATACTGTCTTCTGTATACACACACAGTGTGAAACATTATGTCAGAAAGACGGGTAAGAAAACTGGATGAAATGAGGACTCTGCAGGAAGAGCTTACTTTTTCTGGGAAGTGACACCTTCCCAATGGCAGAGTCACTGGATGCTCATGCAAGAAAACTCCCTTCTTTTACCATCCCTTGAAGCACACAGTGGATCTCAAGGAAGTACTACACTACCCTTTTTCAGCACTACTGTAGTGGTTCCAAAAATAAACTCCAAGACTAATTCTAAAGTTCAGAGGCACACAAACTTTGATAAAGTTATCACCAGCATGGTGATCACAATTTACTGGCATGGAAATACTGTCTGAACATGCAAATGCTGTACACACGAACGGGATGGCACAAAGCTGGTAGCAACTGCCACCAGTGATACATACGCAAGTTAAATTTAAGAATCCCTGTGCTAGGAACCTGTTACATAGTATTTTCAAAATACCTGTTTCATTCAGCCATTCTCTTAGAGATTGGTTCTTAAATCTTGCAGGTTTCATAGCATTTATTTCTTCTTGGTTTTGATAACTGTGGTACAACAGCAGCTACTATACATGAGGAAAAAAACTCACAATAAAAATGAATCCATAAAAATCTGACTACTAAAACCAGCAGGCACTTGAAAACTGAGTTTCCCCTTCATTTTCACTCTGTTTGGTACAGGTACCTGCTACTTTAAAGACAGTAATCTTAATTACAAGAACACAACACCTGATCTTCTACCAAAGGAAACCAAATTCCAGATGAGTTGGTCATACAGTACAAAGCCCACTGAGGAAGGAGTAGGTGGAGTTTGTAGCGCGGGCAAGTGAAAGACATAGGAAGGAAGTACTTAGCCTCTTCTGCAAAGCTGCAGGACGTAGACCATCCTTCTCATCTGGCTACACATACAGGAGTTTAACACTGTCTAGGGCTCTTATCCAAGAATGACAGGGAGCTGGCAAGGGAGGAAGTACCTTCCTGAAATCTGGGCAGTGACCAGAGTGGAAGGAAGACTCCATAGTCTTCTCCATGTGGAGAAAAAAACAATTTTTTAACCAATTAACATGGAGAACCCTTGTGGAAGAATAATTTTCTTACGTACTGGAACAGTACCAAGTCAGTGGATTTTTTTGTTTCATTAATTTTTGAGGTAAATCTCTGTCTCTCCTTTCCACTCCCTGGTTCTTGCATGTGCAATCCTTTCAACAAGATCTCTGTTACCTCTGACTGGAAATTCTGAGACTTTACCTCAGGAAGAGCTATTTTTAGGATGGCTGATTGAAAGAGTTACTAAATTTCCTCACTTCCCCCCTCCAAAATTAAAAAAACCGTAATGGTCTCAGGGAAAATGCTCCAAAGATAGTAAGAGGAGATGCTGTCTTAAGGGTGAAAAAGACTGGTGGCGTGAACGGCTGCAGTTCCAATGTTGCACACAAGATGAGAAAGCCAGTCTCAATGCAAGAACCAATTTAAACGTGTGGCATAAACTTTGCAGGTGTGAGTATTAATAGGAGAGCTTCTGCCAAAAAAACCCAGCCTGGCTTCCTGTCATCCAGAATTCATGACTTTTACTGCTACAGTAAGCAGGATTTTATGAATAACTGAATTAGAAGGACCAGAAAAGGGGCTCTCAAGTGCTGGTTCTGAAAAAAGGTTTCCTGAAAATAGTTTTAGTCTATGTAAACTCTGGTAGTATCAAATCCGAGTAACACACAGTGTAAAGAAATTATACATTAAAGCAGGAAAAACAGAAATAGAACTGTTTCTTTCAAAAGGTTCTTTGCATTTTAGTGCCATGTTTAAAAAAAAAAAAGAAAGAGTTATCCTATGTCATATAGTCCTAGCCCTTTGATGTCAATTGTACAGCAATGTGACCTTCAGGAAGAGCATCACAGGCATCCTACCTCCTAGAGTACCTTTGACTGTAAAGGGTGTCATAACTAACTACATTTAGTCAAGGAGTATGATGTATTTTCAATTTGAGAAGAGTAAGTGGAACACGTTTATTAGATCCTTGAAGTACTAATAAGTAGTAGTCCACCTCTTATGTAAACAAGCAAGCACAACTGAAAGCTTATTTCTCCTCTCAGTTTATCTATATAAGATCCATCTCTGAACAACCCACAGATGCAAGTTCCATTAATTTGGGAAGATAACATCCTAAAAATGAACAGAATTTCATTCCTAAAAAGACAATGAAAACTCAATAC